GTGACTCTTTTGTTCTGTTTTGAATTTTCGAGACAAGCTCTTCCTGTGTCTCTTAGGATGGCCTCAAGCTCTTATTTTTACAAATTAATGAACTTTCTTCTCTCAAGTTCTTTACATTTTTTTCTATTGCATATATTTATTTTGTGTAAATGTGTGGGACCGGTTACAACACGGATTGGAGGTCAGAAGACAGGACTGTGAGGTTAGTTCTTTTCCACTGTGTGAGTTCCAGGATTGAACATAGGTCATCAGGCTTGGTGGCCAGTGCCTTTTCCCACTGTGCCATCTTGCCAGCCCTTTGGGACAGTTTCATACATGTATGTAGTACATCCTGATTGTTCTCATCGTCACTCTCTCTTACTGCCTTCCCATCCCTGTCACACTCTGTTCTCCCTGTTGGTCCCTTCACCATGTTCATGTCCTTTTATTTTGTTTTGGGGCCCACCGAGTTTAAGCTGGGTCGTTGGTGTGTCCTTGGGTATGGAACTAGCTAATGAAGTCTGACCGGTTGACTGGGTGACTACATCACTGAAGACAATGATTGACCTCATCCAGAACCCTTCAGTAGCCATTAGTTCAGCAGTGAGAGATAGGGCCCTGTGTGCCTATCCTCCATCTGATACTGGGTACTGACAGGGTCAGTTCTTTCCTGCGCTTCAAACTCTTGAGTCTGAATGCTGAGATTATAGGCATGTGGTAATGAATCTTGTGTCATTTTGTTCCGTGATGGATTAACTTTGAGGGGGCTTAGATCCAAATAGCTTTGGAGATGCACTGCTTTTTTTTGGCAAAGAAAAACATCAGTATTAAGCTATATCACTTCCTGTTATCTAGTCTGTTTGTTGCCTGCTCAAGGCCCAACTCTTAAAAGTATTTTACAAGTTATTTATGTGTATCAGTGTTTTGCCTATATGTATGACTATGAACCGTGTGCATGTCTGGTACCCATGGAGGCTAGAAGAAACCATTGGCTCCTGGTACTGGAGTTAAAGATGATTGTGAGTCAACATGTGGGTGCCGGGAATAGAGCCTGAATACTCTGGAGGAGCAACCAGTGATCTTAACCACTGAGCCATCTCTCCAGCCTCTCAAGGTCCTACTCTTACAATTCATAAAAATGGATAAAGGAACTAGCATAAGGAAGGAGCAAAACCCAAAAGGAATATGGATGCTATGGGAAGATAGTGTTTTTGGCTTGGGAAATGTAGGTTGCCTCCATCAAAGTTCCCAGAAGGGTACACTTTATTGTTTCTTTTAATAGTTCTGGGGATTGAACTTGAGGTTCTTGCGCATGCTAGGGAAGAGTTCTACCACTCAGCTACATCCCCCAGCCCATGACTCTGTTTCAGGGCAGATTTCAAGACTCCAGGTTTAAAAAAAATGTCTGATTTTATTGGTAAGGCCTGGGGATCTGCATTTTAATCCCTTTCCCCAATGGAAAGCACTAAATTGGAAATAGCTGCTCCGTCTAGAATAATAACTTCAAAGGGTGGGGAAAGACCTTGCTTTCTCATAGGTAACCACAAATGACCTTTAAGGAATTCCAGAGAGTGGAAATGGCGCCCTAATTAAAAAACTTAGAAAAGAATAGGTGCCCCAAGCTACAGGCTTGTAATTGCGACTGGAAACATTCACTTTCAAATAGACAGATTGAAAACATTTCTGGGAAAACGATTGCTAGGTAGAATCACGGGTTTGCTAACATTCACTCTCTAGTAAAGACTGTCAAACTTGGTTGCATATTAGAATTATTTGGAAAACTTTAACAGCATCTTTATTCTAATATCTATATTCTAATATATAATATATATTGTATATATAATGAGTATGTATATGTACACACGTTCTATATTATTGTTTAGGTAGGTTTGTGTATATGTTAATCTATGTGTAGGTACACTGTATACGTTGTGGAGACCAAAGGACAATTTTATATATTATTTCTTAGAAGCTGTCCACATTATTCTTTTGAGAAAGGGTCTCTCATAGGCCTAGAAATTTTTGGTTAGGCTAGGCTGGCTGATCACCGAGAGAGAGGAATCTGTTCATATTTTGCCTTCTCATTGCTTGCTTTACAAGTGTGCACTACCATACCTGGTTTGTTTTGTTTTGAACCAGGGTCCTGGAGATGAAACCCAGGTTCTTATACTTGCACAGCAAGAACAGTACTGACTGAGCCATCTCCCTAGCCGCCTTCTCTGATGTTTAATCACCATCCAGTAACAAATCTCATTGGGTTGCTCCTGGGCATCAGTCTTTTTTAAACTCCTAGAGATTCTGATTTAATGGTTCAGGCTGAGCACTGGGAGTTTTCAAAAGCTCCTTAGATAATTCGAATTGCTAACAAAATTTGACTATAGGTCTATATGACACTAAGCAAGTTGTTTAACCTCCTTATACTTTGTATACATATTAATTGTAAAGATCTTTTTTTTACACCTTTAAATGTCTGTGATTCCTTTATTGAAATCTCAACAAACTGACTGTTTTCCTCCCTCCTTCCCCAGACTACCTCCTCCTTCGTCGCCTCTACTTCCTCTTCCCCACCTCCTGAACAAATATTCTTAGGCTTATAGATTATGAACGTAGTGGATCTATAGTAATTCCAAAGAACCATGTGGACTGTCATAAGGCTCGTTCTGCCTTTGAACTTGAGCTCGTAAACATTTTTATCCATGTGTTGTGTGACAAAACTTTTCCTGGAGAGATGCAACACACAAATCTACCCACCCCAGATAGGAAGCCCATGACAGACCAAAGTATGGATACCACCAAAGTCCAACTTGGTAAACTACTGACTTTAATTGGGGTTACTTACGGGTATGGGTGAGAGGTTACAAGAGCAGAAATGCCTTGAAGACAGCTGCATCACAAAGTCCACCCCAGCGTGGGTGACAGCTTACAAAAGCTGGGAACCTGGAGCACACTGCACAGCCTGCAGGCAGCTCAACAGGTTGGAGAGTCCTTTCCAGGTGATTCCCTTGGTCTAAACCTCTTCCAGGCAGCTTGGCTAGCTTCTGCTTCTTTCAGGCAGCTGGTCTGGTCTGGTCTCAGAGTCTTTACTGTTTGGGTCCTCTGACAATGAGAAGCTTGTCTGAGAGGACTCTAGGTCGTCTTCCTTGCTTACTCTAGCCACAAGGAGCCTAGTGAGAATCTGGTCAGTTTCAGGGACTTCCTAAAGCTATTTTGAGTTGTTTACCTCCCTGCTTAAAGAGCTTCCCTGCAGGATAGGATATTTCAATCTTGGTAGAAGCTGTTATATAACACCATGATTTAGAAAACAAATATGCAAAGGGGGAATTTAAGGATTTCAGATTATGAATTTGGGGGAGGTCTTGGGCCTTGGTTGTTTTGTTGTTGTTGTTGTTGTCTTGTAAGGAGCATTTGTCCTTAGTGTTTCTAAGGAATAGCCAAAAATTTCACTTTAACTTGGTTTTTTGGCATAGTTAAATGTTTTCATCTCATAGTCAGCCTCCAATTTGTGGTTAAAAGCACCGATACGTTTAATTGCTTTTAACTTAAAGCCAAAGAAATTGAATTACATTAGCTCAATTGGTAGAGTGCTTGCCTAACATGCACGAAGCCTCCAGCACTGCATAAACTGAACGGTACATTATCTGTTATCCTAGGGCTTGCAAAGTGGAGGAGAAAGATTAGGAGTCTAGGTCATCCTTGATTGCATAAGGAATTTGAGGCAAGCCTGGGTCACATAAAACTCAATCTCAAAATGAAGCAAGACAAGCCCCCAAATGCAAAAACAAAACCACCGCTAACAAAACAACCCACAAAAGAAATTCCCATCCAACTTGAAATGACACTATATTTAGAAGGATTAATTCACACAATATATAACGAAATCAGTTCTGATTAGAAAATCTAGTTGTTAAGGTTATTATTGATTATGGATAATTCCATAGTTAAATTTTATTTATTTGATTTTGGTGCTTGGACTTGAAATTAAAGCATCAGGCATGCCAAGAACATGAGCTAATTTCTAGCTTGGTCATCTTAATGTTTTCTTTCTTTAGCTGAGTTGAAAAAATTTTTAAAGTTTTTAGTGAAAGAAAAAACACAGTTGTTCTCTGTGGTCTTGTCAATAATTGTAAATAGGCCATCTGAAAGTATCACAAAATAACAGAAATGAACCCCAGCAGCAAACAATGAGATAAGGAGATGTTATGTTGCACAGAGGAAGCCTGTGGAAAGCCTTCATCAGGTGATTCCAAAAGCACTGACTGGGTGGCCTTATCTGAAGACTGTAGTAAGTACGAGGGGAGATGGCAAAGCTCTGGGGGCTGCCTCTGCCACATCTGAAAGCTTGTTTAAGGACACACTCAAATTATGACTTGTAAGTTTTAGGGGAGGCATTGAGCCTTCTGTTTTGCCAGGAAGGCTTTTCTTGACTGATTCTAAGGAATATTGCCAAAAACTCACTTTGATCTGATTTTTGGCATAGTGAAATGTATTGTTTCTGTCTCATAGTCAGCCTCCGATTTCAGCTGAAAAGCCTAGATAAATTGAATTACTTTCAGTTTTAAACCCCAAACAACTGAATTATGTTAGCTTCTCCATATTCCATCCCCTGTATTTTAATCAGAAAATTATACACTCTTGCATTTCAATGTTTCTTTTCAGTTTTAATGCCTGAATTCATACAAAGCTTGAAGTGACCCGAACATGGGAAACTATCATTTTGGTGTAGCAGCAAAAACTATCTATAGCTGTTTTATAGCTCTTCCTGTGGTTTGAAAAATAAACAAGAATCACTGTTCACATCCCATGATGAACGCAATTCAGAAGCAGAAAATGAATCGTTCTGGGAAGGGCCTTAGCTACCACGTTGTTGATGGGTGCTTTCTCTCCCTTCTCTGTCTTTCTCATTAGTATCTATGGACTAAAGGGAATCAGTTGAGTGACTTCTTGAAGCATAAAGGGAGGAACTTCACACTCTCTCTTGGAACCAGAAGTTGAATTTGTAAGCATAATATGATCTAGAAGACATGGGCTGTAGCAGTTCTTCAGTGAAAGGCAACAAGTCGGAGAAAGGTGAGTGCTGGTAACAAGCCGGGTTTTATGAATGAAAAAGAAGGATTAAGCTGGACCCACAATCCTTTCTGTTTCTTGTTTATTCCTGTGGTTCTGAAGATGCCCTGTAAAATTCTGTACTGAAAGATCAATATGTGAACTGAAGGTGAAATATTGGGGGAATATGGGAAAACACCTGAAAAAAGATTTAGTTTTTAGTTTATGATATACTACAAGGTATTATTTAAGACATGTGTTTGATTTAATTTCAGTTAAAATGTTTCAGTAGAAAGTATCAATTTATATCTCAGTGACAGGGAAACGGAAAGACAATTGAATTTGTATAGCTACATCTTCTATTACTCATGTAATAGGTATCCCATACCTATGTGACATTTAGTGGTGGCATTAAATTTAATTAAATTTTATAGCTCAATGATTACATTTTTAAAAATATCTATTCATTGCAAAACTTTATGAGAATTGCCTTATAATTTAAAAATATTCTAGTGAGAATGCCAGGTAATCTGTATCCAAAAGAAGTCCGTTGCTTCTGCTTCTATGACATACCCACTTCTACCTTTAAAGAGAGACTTAGATGTTCCCTTTGTTTCCTTTGCGTGGAGGTGCTTTTCCATGGCTACTGGAATCTAGCTGAAACTCACTTACATGTTTAAGACATTTAGCTTTTGCAAGCAAACTAAAATAGCAAGCTGGGGCAGCTATATGAATGTTTTGCTCTTAATTTCCATTCTTTTGTTATCTAAGTTACAAATTCTTTCATTGGTTTTTATCCTGTATCTTGGTTCAAAGTTTACCCTAGATTGACGGCAGAGAGTTGTGGGCGCAGAGTATTCTATCCTAATTAGTCTAGGGTATTTTCCTTTGGGAATCAACTGTTGTTCTCATCAACTGAATTGTGCGAGGTTTGCAAGCTAATTTCTGAAAGTAGGAAGGGACATGACAGGTGCGCTGTTTGGAATCTAAGTATGCCAAACATTCATCCCACAGTAGTAGTTTGTTAACACAAACAGAGGAAACTATTTGCCTTATTTGTTTTTACAAAATGATTGAACAAATAAAGGATTTTATTATGATACCTTTCTTTTTTTCTAGCTAACTCATACATTTTATTTTTTATTTTTATTTATTTATTTACTTTTATATTATTTAATTAAAAATTTCCACCTCCTCCCATTTCCCTCCCGCTCCCCCATCCCCCTTCCTCTCCCTCTCCAGTCCAAAGAGCAGTCAGGGTTCCCTGCCCTGTGGGAAGTTCAAGGTCCTCCCCACTACATCCAGTACTAGGAAGGTGAGCATCCAAACAGACTAGGCTCCCACAAAGTCAGTACATGCAGTAGGATCAAAACCCAGTGCCATTGTCCTTGGTTTCTCAGTCAGCCCTCCTTGTCAGCCACGTTCAGGGAGTCCGGTTTGCAGAGAATTATGATACCTTTCTATGCACATCATTTACTTTATTATGCTCACATGTATTTTGCTCGCAGTGACCTTCATATCATCTTCTCCTACCAACTCCTTTACATTTTGTCTGATTTCTTGGTTTTATGAAACAATAAGCTTAGGCTGGAGAGAGGGCTCAGTAGTTAAGAGTAATTGCTACTCTAACAGAGGACCAGGGTTTGGTTCCAGAACCCACACAGTGGCTCACAACCATCTGTAACTCCAGTTCCAGGAAAAATGATGGTTTCTTCTGACTTCCTCAGGCACCACATACCCATGGGACACATATATACATGCAGGCAAACATATGCATAAAATAAAAAATTAATAAATATTTTTAAAAGATCATATGTTTAAGGACTGAAGAGATGGTTTAGTGGTTAAGAGCACTTGTTGCTCTTACAGAGTGCCCAGATCGGTTTCCCAGCGCCCACACGATGTCTTCAATAGCTGTAACTCCAGTTCCAGGAGACTTAAGTAAGTTCTAGCTCTTTGGATTGCTTTTCAACTTTTCAAATGTTATTTATAAATGGAAATATTAGCTTAGGTTTTGTATTGATTTTGAAGTAACATATTGAGATAAAATTCACATAACATGAAATTATCCATCATAAAGTAAACAACTCAGTGGCACTTAGTGTATTTACAATATTGTCTAGCCACCACCCTTGTCTAGTTCCAAAATGTTTCTATGACTTCAAAGTCAGACCCCAATAGTTTTTGTCTATTTCCATCTCCTCTCAATCTTTAACAACTGTCAATTTGTGATCTATCTCTATGAACGTATACAGTCCAGACATTTTATTTCAATGGAACCATATACTATGTGGCCTTTGTGTTTGGTTTCATTCTTGTAACATCTATCAGTATTTCCTTCCTTTTTTAGATAATACTTTACTGTAAGAATAGGCCATATTATGTTTATCCCATTTATTAATTAGTAGATGCTAGGTTATAAGTTGTTTATGCTTTGCACACTTTTTGCTATTATGAACAATGTTTCTATGAACATTCATATATAAGTTTTGTATAAACATAGACTTTCACTTTTCTTAGGCATATACCAATGAGTAGACTTGCTGTGTCAAAAGGTTTAACATTTTGAGAAACCTCCAAACTATTTCCTCAAGTGACTAAACCATTTTTTTTCCTACCAACAATGTGTTAGTGTTACAAAATTTCCACATCCTTGGCAACATTTTTTATTGTCTTTTTAAAATTATATTAGTGGGTATCAAGAAATATCTCATTGTAGTATTTATTCATACTTGCCTAATGACTAATGATTTAGGGCTTCTTTTCATGTGTTGATTGACCACTTGTACCAGTCTCTTTAGATAAGTAAATATCTATTAAGATCATTCACACCCCCACTTTTTTTGAGCCAGGATGTCACTAGGGAGTCCATGGGGCCTGTAACTTGCTGTTGCAACACAGATGCCCTTTGTTACTGCCTCCTGAGTGCTGGAATTACAAGCATGTGCTACCATGTCCAAACACCCATTTATTTCTATTTATTTATTTATCGTTTTTTTTCAAGACAGGGTTTCTCTGTAGCTTTGGAGCCTGTCCTAGAGCTAGCTCTTGTATACCAGGCTGGCCTCGAACTCACGGAGATCTGCCTGCCTTTGCCTCCCAAGTGCTGGGATTAAAGGCGTGTGCCACCACCGCCCGGCAGAACACCCATTTTTAAAAAGTCATTATTTTATGCTATTTTGTTGTAAGAGTTGTTTTTGTATGCTATAAAAAGTTTTGTATGCTATAATTTGGAAAGTAGCTATACTTACCAGTGTTTGCCCACCTATCACTCAAATATGTAATTGTAAGTATTTTTCTCACTCAATGACTTGTCTTCAAATTTTGTTATTGTTTTTGAGGTGGTATCTGTAGTTCAGGCTGGCCTTGAACTCACTATGTAGCTGAGGCTAACTTTGAACTCCTGATCTGTCTGCCTCTACCTCCCAAGTGTGCACCACCACGTCTGGTTTAAGGCATGGTCCAGGCTGACCTTGAACTACTAATATTTCTGCCTTCTATTTTTTTTAGCACTTGCCTACTAGCCTGTGGCCTTTTTTATTTCTTCTTCTGCTGCCGCTTCTTATTCTGCTTCTTCTTCTTCTTCCTCCTCCTCCTTCTCCTCCTTTTCTTCCTCTTCTTTTGAATTGGAAAATGACAGTACTTTGTGTCATTTAGGTTTTGAACCAACAAACTTAATTAAGATTACTACTGAAGCACAGGTGAGGGGTATTTACAGAACCATGGACACTTTATCAGTGGCTATACTGCTGAAGAATATCTCCTTCCTTCTGCAACTGTTAACTGCCTATAGATTCCAGGGAGGGGCTGGAACTCACGAACCCTTACTCTTTAAATTTCTTTACTATGAAGTTAAAATATAACATCAAAAGTCCCTAAGAAATAGTGGAGAAGGTGCCTGAACTGGCCTTCCCTTCTAAGCAGATTGACGACTACCTTAATTGTCATCATAGACCCATCATCTAGTAACTGATGGAAGCAGATGCAGAGATCCACAGCTAAGCACTGAATCAAGCTTTTGGAGTTCAGTCACAGAGAGGGAGGAGTGATAATATGAGCAAAGGGATCATGACCATGATAGGGATGCCCACAGAAACAACTGACCCAAGCTAGTGGGAGCTCAGTGACTCTGGACTGACAGTGAGAGAACCGAAATAGCACAAACTACGCCCTCTGAATGGGGGTGATAGTTATGTGGCTTGGGCAGTCTGTGGGACCAGGATTTATCTTTAGTGCTTGAACTAGGGTTTTGGACCCATTCTTTTGCTCAGCGTAGGTATGGGGAGGAAGGCCTCTGTCCTGCCTCAATGTGAAGTATCAGTCTTTGTTGACTCGACTTGGGAAGCCTTACCCTCTCTGAGGAGTGGATGGGGGGCTGGGGTGGGGGGATGTTGGGGGACGCAGGAGGAGGGGAGGAATTGGGAACTGGGCTAGGTATGTAAAAGGAGAAAAGATTGATTTTAAAAATATATAGTTTTAATTGGAATATATACATATATATGCACACACACACATATAACATCAAAGAGCAGCACATATTTTTGTAGCTGCCATTTAACTGTCGCCCTTGGGAGTTTAGTGGTGTCATCCTGGAGACCCAGGTTTATATTCCCTGACTGGGAGGTAGGTAGGGAGATGTGTAGATGTGGTGTGTGTGTGTGTGTGTGTGTGTGTGTGTGTGTGTGTGTGTGTCAGAGAGAGAGAGAGAGAGAGAGAGAGAGAGAGAGAGAGAGAGAGAGAGAGAATCTGTTTTCTTTCTGAAGGGAATCTTTTGGATTTCAATATAAATTCAATACCAGAAAGTAAGTTCAAATAAAATGTTATGAAATAAAGAAAATAGGACAGAATAAAGGCTTCATTTCTAAAACCCCACCCTTGGTGGGAACTAATGTAGCTCTACTGCTTGGTGAACTCACCTCATCCTATAGGGCATTATGATGGGCTGGGGCTGTAGACACTCTCCATCTGAATCCTGAGCTCCATTCTGTTACCATGTAGAGGTCTTGATCAGGTTCATTTTCTCT